TCTCTCTCTCTCTCTCTCTCTCTCTCTCTCTCTCTCTCTCTCTCTCTCCCCCTCATTTGTAATTTAATACTGATTTAATTGTACTATGTTAAGTTTGTTGTTCTACAGCAACAACAATGGATAGTCCCGTTCACCATTGGAGGTCAATATTGACTACTTTGGAGAATCCTGGTTTAGAATCTGGGCTGAAGGCCACAAAAATTAGACTGAGACGTAGTGTGCAATGGGTTGATCTAAAACTTGTCAATTACTGTTAAAAGTAAATCCCCCCCCTCAAAAATTGGCTTATTTACCAACATTCAAGTCATCCTGCTTAGCTTCTGAGCCAAACAAATTTACTACTTTTCTGTTAAAATGTGCATCTTTCCCCTTTTGTCACTAGTGATATATGCACATCCCATACTTACTTCTGTGTCTGATGGTTGATTGATGAGACAATTTTGTATTGCACTTTAGGTCCCAAATCTGCCCCTTATAGTGCAAATGCTTCAAAGACTCTACAGCCTAATGTTATTTCGACAGAGATTTTAGGGGCGAAAAAAAATGGTCAAAGCCACGATTTTCACAATTTTTTAAAATCAATGTTTGTCTCCAAGGACTAATTCAGAAGTAATTCTTGAGGGGAGGACATATAAAGTCAAAAGAAGCTTGCCTAAATCCTGTCCATGTTCCCTGTTTCGTAAAGGACTACAGATTTACTCTAGAAGTGTTACATGCACAACATTAAATGTAGTTAGTCTCATTAATAGTTTTCTTCAACAGTTTTCCCACAGTTACATATTCTCTACTGTAAAGGTTGCATGCTTTCATTCTGCTGAGTCCTTTGGGGGGAGATCCATGCTCTTAGAGCCCCAAGTTGGCAGGGACACCCATCTTCCCTCTTTCTTCTTCACATCCACTGCCATTTTTTCTCCCCGAACTAGTATGCACATCACACTTAGCTTTATTGTGGCTTAGTTCGTTTTTTTGTGTAAAGCATTGTGTAAACCCAGCTGTTATGGTTTATAAACCACGTTGGAGCAATCCCTGCCCTGGTGTGATATGTGAACTCAGCTTTTCTCTTTTGGACATCCCATTCCCCCCTCCACCCCATCCCCATTGTTCTTTTCTACTTCCTTCCCACCCAGCACGCTGCTGGAGAAGAGACAAATTGCTCTTTCCAGAGATCTGTACTAATTGTTTGCAGAGGGCTTTTGAAATTAGTTTGAGGATGAAATTAGACCGGTTGCCCACTCT